GAATTTTGTCTAATGGTTGCAGTTTCCCTATGGCAACTCCCAAAACATCTTGTGTAGTGAGGAGTACCACAAATTTATCCAGCAGTCTAAATGGAGCACCAGATGCAATGTTGTGCTGCTAAAAAAAATGATTAGAAGGTTCTCAAACTTACTTTTAAGAAGTGGGTTTTAATCTTCCCACAGTGTTTTCCCCTCTGCTCATTCACAGGGGAATACAACACGTCTTTGGCTGGGATTCTTGCATATGCAACTCTTTTGTTGTTGCTCAACATCCAGATGAACACATCAGGCACTGTATGCTGGGGCTTGAGAAAAAGACAGACATGTGCTTTGAGTATCAAGGACAACATTAGACTCCTGAAAGATGTGTATATCTTGGGAAATCAACATTTTTTTTATTATGTCAAGTGTGTGTGAATCAAGAATCAAAATATCAGCAGTTTTGCAGGAACTTTAATAAGAGAATAAAAATACAGGCCTGGTTTAAAAGTGACAGAAGATATTCAGCTCACTTTTAGAGCATACTGCCTCAACATTTCTGCAGTATATATGTGCCCTCAATTTGAAACAGACGTAAAGCCCAATACAGATATTACAGGAAAAAGTTGGAGGACAGGAGAAGCAGGGTTATGTGGATTCCATTTACATAGGATTTTATGCATGTATGTTTTAATGTTCTTATTTTTATTCATATAGACTTTATTTTTCATATCCATTAATCTCTTTTCTGCCACATGCACTGGACACAATTTTTTTTTTAAAAAAACTGGTTTGAAATAATAATTACATCGATTTAATCAAATATAAAGTCTACATAAATAAAAATAAGAATGCCAACATAAAATAAGTTGATGTTGACCTGAATCTCATTGGTGGTCTCAACTAGAATAGACTCATTGAATGAACAGGTGAATGAGTCAATTTATGTAAACCCCACTTAATGTGCCTCCTTTAATTGAGAATATTAATAGGACGTGACTGTGAGCAGTAAATAGTTTTGGCGTTTTCTTCCAAAGTATCTCTCTGTGTGTTGTTTTTGTGGAGTGGGACTTGCCCCTGGACATGCAACAGGTCCAGTGGCTCCAGAAACAAGTTTGGATGCATTACCTCATCCACTAAGAAGCGAATCTTCTCAATAAAACTTTGGGTTTCACGCATCATTTCATCTAGTGGAATCTTCTTTTTTTGCTGCTGGATTATTCCTTTGGCATCTTTGGACATTGCCTCCTATCAAAACAAAAAGGCAGTGTATTCATAAAGCTACTGCCACTGTCAGTTTCTTCCAATATGTTTTCCACATTATCCACACCAGAACATAAAAGGAGGGCAAATTGTCCTATTTTTCTTTAGCTCCTTTAGCAACATCCTCCAGTACTAGAACTAAAGATTCTGAACCAACACTGCCTGTCACAATGGAATAGATTAGATATCAGAAGAGAATCTTATCTACCAGGTTCCTAACTGCATTTTTGTGCATCACCAGCTCTTGAATTATTCACAGAAAAGAACTACATTACTTTCCTTTTATCATCCGTCTTTATCACTTTGTTAACTCTGCGCAAACATGCAGAACTGGGACAGTATTGTATGAATTTACTTTTTTAAATTAAAAATGTTATTGGCTTTACGATTGCATTTGTAATTTGTTATGTTAGGATTTTTGTTGTTGTTGTTAACTGCCCTTGAGTCGATCTCAACTCATGGTGACCCTATCAGTGAGACATCTCCAAGACCCCCTGTCCTTCACTGCTCTGCTTAATTCCAGCAACCCCTTAATACCTGTGACCTCCTTAATAGAGTCCATCCATCTAGCATGTGGCCTTCCTCTCTTCCTACTTCCCTCCAACTTTCCCAGCATTATTGTGTTTTCCAAAGAGTCCTGCCTTCTCATGATGGGTACGAAGTACGACAGTCTCAGTTTGGTCATCTTGGCTTCAAGGGAGGTTTCCAGATTGATCTGCTCTGGGACTCATTTTTTGTTGTTTTGGCTGTCCATGGGATCCTCAGCACTCTTCTCCAGCACCACATCTCAAATGCACTTATTTCCTTCCTATCATCTTTCTTAACTGTCCAGCTCTAACATCCATACATGGTAATAGGGAATTCAATGGCTTGCATGATCCTAACTTTTGTGCTGAGTTGTATATCTTTGCATTTTAGAGTCTTTTCAAGTTCTTTCATAGCCACCCTCCCCATTCTTAATCTTCTTCTGAGTCCTGAGTACAGATTCCTCATCAGGACTATCAGATGTGCTGGTACTCCCATGTCTTTAAGGGTGTTCCATAGCCTTTCATGGTCTATGCCAGGGGTAGGCAACCTTTCCCCTTTAAGGGCCGAGGGACTTCAGCTCCCAGAATCCCAGGAGCTATTGGCCAACATGGGACTATTGGCCAATATGGCTAAGGCTTCTGGGAGCTGAAGTCCCTCGGCCCTTAAAGGGGAAAGGTTGCCTACCCCTGGTCTATGCAGTCAAAGGCTTTGCTATAGTTTATAAAGCACATGCTGATTTTCTTTTGGGATTCCCTGATGTGCTCCATTAGCCATCATATGTTTGCAATGTAGTCCCTGGTGCCTCTTCCTTTCCTGAACCCAGCTTGGACATCTGGGATTTCTCTTTCCATGTATGGTTGTATTCTATGTTGCAGAATTTTGGGCATGATTTTGCTTGTGTGGGAGATCAGTGCTATGGTTCTATAGTTGCTGCAGTGTCTTGTGTCTCTCTTTTTGTGGATGGGGATGTATATTGATTGCTTCCAATCTATTGGCCATTGTTTTGTTTTCCATATCTGTTGACATATGTTGGTTAGCACTAGAGTTGACTCTATCAATGTGGATTGCAGCAGTTCAATTGGAACATCATCTGTTCCTGTTGATTTGTTTTTCGTTATTTCTCTTATTGCAGTTTCCACCTCAGTTTTTAGAATTTGGGGTTCATCTTCATATGGCTCTGCATTCCATGTGTCCTTCATTTTGTCATTTCTTTTGTATAATTCTTCTGTGTATTGCATCCAACATCTTTTTATTCCTTCCTGGTCTTGAATTATGCTATTTTTATTGTCATAGAACATTCCAGTCCTTGGTTTGAATTTTCCTTTGATTTCCCGGATCTTGTGAAACAGATCTTTTGTTCTTCCCTTTTTGTTGTTATCTTCTATTTCTTTGCATTGGTCGTTGTAGTAATTTTCTTTATCTTTCCACACATGCTGTTGTACTGTTACATTCATAATTCTTAGTTTGTCCCTATCTCCCTTTTGTTTTTGTTTTTGTCTCTGGCTTGTAGTGGTTTTTTTGTCTGGGTTTTTTTCTTTTTCTTTATTGAAAGTGTCTGTCTTCATTCTTTTATTATGTCCCTGGCTTCAGATCATAGTTCCTCTGATTCTTGGTCTATTATGCTTAGTAATGCAAATCTGTTTCTTATGTTGTCAGTAAATTCTGTTGAGATATTATTTAGATTATATTTTGGTATAAAGACTGGTTTTGTTTTCTTCTTGAGTCTCACTCTTATTTTTGATATGAGTAATTTGTGATCTGTGCCACAGTCATTGCCTGATCTGGTTTTGGCCACCAGAATAGAGTTCCACCATCTTTTGCTTCAAATAATATAGTCTATTTGATTTTGTGTTGACCATCTGGTGATGTCCATGTGTATAGCCTTCTTTTTGTTGTTTGGTTGTATGAAGAATGTGTTTTCAATTAGTAGGTTATTGGCTTCACAAAAATCTTTCAGATGCTCACCTGCTTCATTTTTTTTTTGCCTAATCTAAATCTGCCTACTGTTTTTAATTCTGCTTTGCCTCCAACTTTTGCGTTACAGTCTCCAGTGATGAGCTTGACATCCTATGTTGGCGTGCTCTCAACTTCTTCCTGTATTCCTTCATAGGGTTATTTGCTTGGTTATAATTGTTTCTCTTAATTTAATATGTTGTGCACCACTTTGGGAAGAACAATATAGAAAAGCAAGTCAAATGAAAATATGTTATAAAGTAATGTAGCTGTACAAGCATAGTTTGATCTTTTACCATCAAATTGCTTGGCATTCAGTCATGCTCATTTGAATGCATGAGCTGCCAAGACTGAAAAACCATATTTGATATTTGTTAAAAAGTGATGGCAATTAGGTTCACTCAAGGGTTTTTCTTTTCCCAGCCATCTGAACAACATGTATCTTATAGATGTCACAAAGAATTCTGTCTACATTCCTAGTGTCTTTGGATGCCAGAAGCAATACCAAATCCAAAGATATGCAAGCTGTGTTTAGCACAGCAGGTGGCTTTTCCAATTATGTCAGTGTCACCCTAGGAAGCCACTTAATCTGTCTAGATGAGCCACACCAGATATTAAACCTCAAGTCTTTGGGTTTGATCAGGCAAGCTACGAGCACAGTTTGGAAAAGTTACATTTTAGACTAAAAGTCCCAGAATCCCTCAGCCATCATATTCACAGACAAGGCTAGCTGCAGGATTTTGGGAGTTGTCATCCAAAAAAGTAACATTTCTGAGCTTTGTGTACAATACAGTTAGCCACATTCGGGGAAGACTTATTGGATTTGGCTGGTGCACATGAAGGGGTGGAATCCTTTCCATTAATTTTTGAAGAATCTAGCATGACCTACTGATTCCTCTCTCCCCCCCCCCCCCCCCCCATATTTGGAATGGAAATGACTTGAAGTTTTAAAAACTGGACTATGAGATAAAGTAAAATTGCTAGATCTTCCCATTTTCCAACGTTTGAGTATGCAGGTGAAGTAAAAGAAATATGATTTGTACCCTTTCCAAAATGTTCTACAACATGTTGGCTGCAAGATGGCAATCATGGGCAACCAGAATCAACCAATACAAAGGGGCTCCTTGTAAACCACACTGCTAGGGAGGTTGCTTCTGCCCCCTTTCTAAGCTTAGGTTTGAATTATTAAAACTTCTGGAAGCAAAAGATCATAAACCCTTTCTTAATCATCCTACTCCTATATAACATTTTCAGGCTTTCTAGCATCACTGAGAGAAGCCAGCATGGTATAGTGATTTGAGTGCTGGACTATGCTTCTGGAGGCCAGGGTTTGAATCCCTGTTCAGCCATGGAAACCCACTGGGTGACCTTGGGTAAGTCACACTCTCTCAGCCTCAGAGGAAGGCAATGGAACCTCCCCCCCCCCACCAAACAAACCTTGCCAAGAAAGACCTGGGATAGGTTTGCTGTTGGGTTGCCATAAGTTGGAACAAAAATAAGCAACAACAACATTGGGCCTTTCTACATTGATGTATGCCAATGAACTCCTCCTAACTGCTGTTGTACTGCAGGACATGAAAAGCATTTAGGGCCCTATTCTTATTAGGATGCATTCTAAGTTCAGGGAGTCTGAACTTTTTTTTAAAAAAAGGTGCCTTCTGCCTCTTGTGTTTTAGAAAAATGATGGAACAATGCCTAGTGGTATCAGGAAAAAATACTGTATAACAATGAGTCATTGACATAATGGATCAGTGAAGAACTCCCTCATGAGATAAATATCTGCAAGCTATGTTTACTATTTCACTATCAGACAATAAAGAGTAAGGAAAACATAGTTATGTTTGCAGAGATTTAGCTTGTGAAGAAAGGGAACTCTTCCATGAAATATCTCACCCACTCAAAGTGATAATAAATATTTCCTTGCCAGTACTAGATGTTGGTTCTTCTTTTTCCTAAGAATATAGACCATGCCTGTTGGGTTTCCATTGTTTTGACTGAGCTTGGAAACCCTGTTCAGCAAAACCAAAAACAGCACGTTCTGTACATGCAGAAGTTTCTAAGCAAGCTAGAATTTCGGTAGCCCGTGATGCCAGCTCATGTGGACAAAGCTGCATGTACAACTGTATGCACAGAGGCTTCCTCTCTGCAATGTAGCCAGAAATGTGTGTGATGTTAAGGATGGGCCCTACCCTAGTCTTGGCTCAGAGGGTTGCATTGCTACTTATTTGAATACTGAATAGGGCTAGGAGGTTGTATTACAAAATTTAAGTTCAGATATTTTCTGGACTTCAGCTTCCAGAATCCCTAACTCCTGGCCATGCTAGCAGGGGCTTCTAGGACCTTGATTTCCAAATTATCTGGATCACCAAAGACTGAAGATCTAAAACACAACCATAACTCCCATATAGTTTCAGAGAAAGAGCAGGAGCAGAAGACAAGCTGCCTTACATGAATCCTTCACTGTTACTAACTATCTTCTCATGTAGGAGCTCCTTTGGCCCGCCAGAATGTCATTGGAAAACTGCAGAATAGAATTAATTCACAATTGGCTGACTTCCACAAGAAGTGGTGGAGGGGGCATGGAAAGCCATAGGTCAATGGTATAGCACATGCTTTACTTGAAGAAGATCAGTTCCCAGTATCAGGGAAAGACTACTCTGGAGACCCTGGAGGGTTACTAGCCAGTATAGACACTAAAATAATGCTAGAGCATAAGATATCATTAGACTGGAGTTCCTAGTATTGTTCATTATTGACTATGTTGGCTAGAGCTGATGGGACCTGTAATCCAACAACATCTGGAGGGCCACATGATTCCCACCAGTTAGCTAGAAGAACCAATGGTCTGACATGGAACAAGGCAGCTTCATGAGTCCCTATGTACTGTGTTTACCAGATATGTCCTATTTTAGATATTCTACCATGTCCCTTATCTTTGAAATCTTTATGAATCAACTCTATCGGTCCCAGGTGACAAAATTGTACATCGCCACATTATCCCATTGGTCACAGGTCGAACTACTTTTTCTTGAACTACAAGGAAGCTCAGTGAACCAAAATAGGAAAAGTTACAATATAGAAAGTACACTTTTTTGAGCTACAGTTCCTACAATTCCCCTGCCAGTATGGCCACTAGTGATTGATGGTTACTGCGGAGTGTGTGTATATGTGCATGTATATGTTGTTGTTGTTGTTTTAAGTTGTTTCTGACCTATGGTGATTCTAAGACAAACCTATCATGAGGTTTTCTTGGCAAGATTTGTTCAGAGAAGCCTTTGCCTTCCTCTGATGCTGAGAGAGTGTGACTTGACCAAGGTCACCCAGTGGGTTTTCATGGCCAAGTGGGGATTCAAACTCTGTTTTCCACAGTCATAGAATCATAAAATCATAGAATCATAGAGTTGGAAGAGACCACAAGGGCCATCCAGTCCAACCCCCTGCCATGCAGTAACTCCCAATTAAAGCATCCCCAACAGATGGCCATCCAGCCTCTGCTTAAGACCTCCAAGGAAGGAGACTCCACCACACTCTGAGTCCAAATACATAGTCCAAATGCTCAAAACACTACACTACATTGCCTGTCTGCCTGCCTCCTTCCCTCCCTCCCTCCTTCCCTCTCACACACAAATATTTATATATTGCCATTAATACATTGGCATTGTATAAAAATAAAATTATAAACCACAGCCCTACCAAAGGCATAAAGTCTAATACTGGGAGATGTAAGTCCAACAAAATGACATTTCCAAGACCTGTGGGAAAGGCCCAATTTATGAAGTACAAGAGCTCTGTTGATTCTGCTCAAATCCTTAAACATTGCAGACAGTTATTTCCTGTATACTATAAAATTACCGAGACCATCATTTAGGAGACAGAGTCAGTTCTGGTGCACAGAGTCAATCAACTCAGTCAATGAGGCACATTTATAGCACACTGCAGCAGGGATTCAAGGAAATATCTCACATACCAGCTCTTGCTTACATAACGTCAGCCTCTTTTTGTCCAAAGCTGTCCGATTCATCAGTTTGGGCTTCTTTTCAGCATTTGCAATGAAGGCCCTGGGAGGAAGACACAAAAGCATTTTAAAAAAGACAGGAAAAGATTATATTTTCATAATGATAGGTAATAGTTCTCCCATAGGAAGTCCATTTATTTAGCAGAATGGATGAGCTAGAAGATAGTAAGAGCTCAAATTCATAATATTATATTAAAATGGATGCATCATTTAGAGTAGTGAGAAGTATAGAGAAGTGGAAATACAATTTGTATGGTAATATTTCAGCATTATATTAATTAGTTTGGGGGATATGTGGATATTTTGCATCTTGTCCACTGTGCACAAAAGAGATTTGAGCAAGGGAACGCCTCTGTATGCATATTGACCTTCCGGAATTTGCTTAATATATTTGCAAAGGATGTCACCAATCATTTCCAGTGTATGTTATGTTCTTTTGACAGTTCCAAAAGCCTGGTAGGCATTCTAGAAATGAATCACTGAAGAATGAGCAAAGGAAATGGAACTGAAAGCATTTCATTGTATAACATTAGAGCCAAAGGTAACAATATATTTTCCATTCATAATAAAGTTAGGTGAGCAACTGTGAGATGGCTACACATGTTCAAAAACTTTGGACAATCTGCACTTTTAAGCAATTTGACCCAATTTATACTTTCTAATACAGAGATGTGAATATGTCATCCCTTCCATTTTTGCACTTCTTCAAATTTTATGATAACAGTTCTTAGTTTAAAGATATAATAGGTTTTTTAATTGTGTATATTAGCTTCAGATGCATAAAAAATGCACATTTTAGGGCAAAATGTGCACCATAATAGATATTTTAGAGTAAAAGATGTAGAAGAATATGCATTTTTGTGGAGGAACTAAATCCAAGTACAGTTTTTACATGTGTTTTAGAACTGCAGATTGATATAGAAATGGGACTGAATATACTTATGAAAAAGAAATGTGATACTATCATAAAGTGGAAAATAGACCAATCTGTCCATTCCTAAGTCAAGCTACTTCCATACTTATTATCCATCTCTTACTGGCCTTGTGGGAATTGCTGCCTATCCATAATGTACATTTGGAGCTTTTCCTACAGATGTTCTTACCTACTTTGGTTGATAAAATCATTCAGAGTAGACTTCATTTTCTCTTCTGATGCCATCTCAGAAACTTTAATCAAATCTTTCACTTGTTCTAAGCCTTCTTCCTAAAAGAGAGGGAGGGGGAAGAGAGTTATGTAAAGGACATATAAATGTCACTAGAAGTAGGAAAAGATCCTGTAATTTAATTCAATCAATAGAGGGGAAACCTTACAGATTAATTAGCATGAGCAGTGAACAATAAATGGTGCCAGCTAACTAGCATACATAACACGTTTCTAACTGCGAAGTGAATGTATCAGTTCCAAAGTTCACTGCAGACATAAAACAGTTTATTATAATTAACACAGAAATCTGCAATATGTGGGTGTTCATTGCTAAGATCTTGTTATAAACAATGTTACATCTTTCATTTGTTACTGGGGTTTGGGGTTGTTGTTTGTTTGTTGTTGTTTTTTGGCAAAAGCCATATTTTGAATTTTAAATGTTCTGACTTTTAGTTCACACCTATCAATTCTTGCATGAAGCCTACAAAAGATGCAAATGGCTCTTTATCCCTCTCTTTTCCAATGTGAATTTTAACAAAGGCTGTGGTCAGAGTTATCCTCTCATTAATATAAAAACATCTTAGCCTTCAAAATGTATGTGATGCCAGGAGATCAATCACCATCTTATTATTTATTTACTTTTGGTGAAACAGAGACAAAAGAATAGATGGAAAAACTCCTAGCAGCAGCATTGTTAGGGGAAGGGTGTGCTTAACCTTTTCTCTATAAGCCAGCTCTGTGATAAAAATCCAAGTAACTTTCACCCAACAACTATGCAACTCACAAGGGGGAAAATATAGGGATCTGGATTTTATCCCTTTTGGCATCTAATTAAATTGCAAACATGACCAGCAGAGGAAAGGCTAAGAAACCACCTCCATGTTCTATACCACTGTCTTCTCCAGTAGGCCTAACTCATAACTATCCTATTGGTGGCCCTAGTAATATGGGGATTTCATGGGGTCTTATCTTTTACAAGGCCACAAAGGTGGAAAATACCACACCCCACCAGACTCATAAAATTACTTCCAGGCTGGGAAGAACAAAGGCTGTGGTGAACTGGAGATGCAGAGGTCATCTCGCTAGCATGAGACTGACCTCCTTGGCCTGAAATTACAGGCAAAGAGACTCATATGCTCCAGAAAACAGACCAGGAAGGTGCAGAACAGCAGAAGCAGATGTTATTTGAG